CATTTCTTTTATTATCAATTAACCTACTAATTATTTTCTCAATCGACACATTAATTGTTTTTTAAGTATAACATGTCAGAAGACTGTGAAGAATAACCATTATAACACCAAAACCAGAGCCCAAGATGCAACTCAGACTGCCTGTTTTATGCAACAAACTGCCCAAAACCCCATTAATATTCAGGTTACAGTCATATATAAGAAAGAAAAGCAACAAATCCTTACGTTTGAGAAGCTGGAACCAGAAAATGTTTGGCATTTTGGCTTGAAAATGGATTAAAACAATTATCAAAACAGTTGTCGATAAATTTTCTTTTGATTGACTAATTGATGAATAGACTACTCATTACAGCTCTCCTTTTTTATACATATTTACAGAAGATAAACAAAAATGTTTCATGAGGATCCCTTGAATTTGGTTGTTAAAGAATTGTGACCAAGATGTGAAACATTTTACAGTTGGGAAAAACAAATAATGTGTCATTTGTGGTATTATTACTATATTATTATATATCCTCAAACATATCTTTTTATTTAACAGCCGACATATAAAAAACAATGTATCTGTGACACAGTAACATCAGCTGACTATTATTAGTTGGACCGTAGTTAAACCTAGTTCTCCTCCTCCTCTTCAGCCCATCATATACCACTCCACTGGCCTGGTGGTCTATTCGCTCTGTACACTGGCTGCAGTTGTGGTTCTGCTCTGTTTATATAAACCCTGCAGTTTTTGTTTCTAAGGTAAATCCAATGGAGGATATTGCAAAGCTCTCAACATTGTATTCATCATATTGTTGTTCCATATGGCAATTCAAACTATTCTGTATCCAGTACAGTACAGTATGAAGCCACAGATTTTGAAATTGGCATGTAGCTCTGTGGAAGGCTATTCATACTGAACCTGAATAAACAATGGAAAACAAGATCAAACAATGTTCATTCCAAAGCTTTGCATTTGGGAAATATGTTCAGTTGCATTTTCTTAACATACACACAATGTAAGGTTTATTGAGTTAGACTGACACCTACAGATCATGCAGGTAACAGGGTTTGACTTAACAAATGAAACAACAAATCCACTCAAACCTGAACCCTACAAACTTCTTTTATCCTGCAAGTAAGTATAATTTTCTTGTTTTGTCTAAACATACAGACTAACAAGTGCAAGATCTTCACAACTAAACTTTGTTAGTCTGTACTGAAATTAATTGCAGCTTTGGGACATCTTGCACCTGATATTATCTGTTAAATAAAAAGAACACCTTACGGTGCGTCATGTTCCTGTAGTGAGAGAAGATGTAAGGAGGTGATGCTACTGCACTTAATACACAGAATATTAAGAACATTTACTCCTTTTTTGAGGTAAAAAAAAAAAAGCTAAAAAGCTATTGTCTCTTACTGATTCCAAATCACAAAAGGAGTTTTTATTTATATTCAGTAAATTAAAAAACAAGGTTTTAGTGTTTTTTTATGTGTGTATTCAGTGTAAATTCCATGCATACGGTTTGAGGAACCACCTCACCTTTTTTTGGGGGGCCTGAAATTTAATAGTCCTGTGTCCAGTATCTGAAGTGGAAATAGGAGGTTCAAATTCAAAGTAAACACAGTCACAGTCAATCTCTGTACGGTCATGAGTCACAATCGCAAACAGAGAAACCAGTGACACAGCCATCTCTTATTCGGAAGCTATCCTGGTGGGATCATATGTTGGGGTCACCACTTATTTGTACAGTGGGCCAGACGGAGTTTGCATAGCGCTGCTGTATTCCCTGATGTTTCAAAGTCATGTCACCGAGGAGACTCACGACTACTCAGAACTCTCTAAGGAATGAAAGAAAAACTTGTTGAAAATTTATAGGACTTCTGAGTGTGTGTGTGTTGTGTCATGTTGTGGATTTCTGGGATACAGCAGGTTACATGACCTCATTGTATGAGGTGTGTATATCCAATTGTGTATATTTGTGCTAGTGTGTGTGAATGTCTGTGTGAGGGAGAGAGCAAGAGACAGAACGAGAATGAGAAAAAAGTAAAAGGTAAAAATAAGCAAGTTTGTAAATGTTTTAAGCCTGCAATAACTACTTTTGGTCACTTGAGGTCAGTTAAAATAAGCTGTGAACACAACGCTGACATATTAACACCTTTTAAAAAAGGTCCAGTGTGTAACATGAAAGGGAATATAATATTTAGAGGTATGTTTTCATTAGTGTATAATTACCTGAATATAGGAATCATTGGGCCTCATGCAGCAACAGCCTTTTAATTTTCTGTTTAAAGAAAATATAAGTCAACTCTAGATGCACCAAATGTTCTTAACCACTCAAATCTTCTCTTACCCAGGGTACACTGCACGTACACTTGAAA